GGAAGAGCATACCACTGTGGTGCAATACGGGCATCGGGCGGAACTCTCGTGGGGATATCAATGACCAATTTGAACGAAATTTTCCCGATGACCCGATATTCCGGGGATCGCCCATCTTTAAGAACAACCTCCAAAACATCACCTTTCGTTTTGTCGAAAGCAAAAGCCTGGTTCCACTCCATATCAGGTCCTGTAGGTAAGGTTCTTGTCGAGGCCCTGTAATTTCCAAGGGTGAGTTCCACAAAAGGCGAACATGTACCGGCAGGACAATTGATGACTCGGTTAATCTCTATATAAAGAAAATGCATTTCTTCAACAAGGTCGAATGAAGAAGTTAGCTTATCCTTCGTGGAGTTTGCCCTGCCTCCCCCAATCTTAGGGAATATTTTCTTGCAGGAGAAGTCATCTTTCCGAACCATTGCTTGAAACCTGAAATCAAACTTTGTCAACCTGAAAACAGAAATGAGCACTATCAGAAGTTGTCTTCAGGTTCAAAAAACTAAGTTAGCAAATATCGAATTCCGGATTGCTGTCAAATTCTTATTTTGCACTTGAAGGGATCAAAATAATTTCAGCAGCTCCAAAAGATTTCAAAAACCAAAGAGAAGGCTCGTGCAAAATCTAATACAGACCAGACAAAGCACAAGGATGAGAGAACATAAAGGAGAACAAGCTTACCACGAGTGGCGATGGGGAAGCAGAAGCAGAAGCAGTTTCAGGGGTGCTAGGGTTTTTGATCTTATGAAAAACGAAAATTTAAAAAAAAGAAGGAAATTTACCACTTTGAATTAACAAAAATGGAAACTTGCAGGTAGCTATGGCGTCTCCTTCCATAATAGAAAAAGGAAAATTGTGGTTCCTCGTGAATACGAATTGATTAATGCGACCAAGAGACCTGGAAAATAGTCCATAATTGGAAAACGGATCAAATAGCTCAAGAAACTGAATATAATACGAGAAAAGGAAAGAGAACCGGTAAGCACAGAAACCTGATCCCGTCCACGCTTCAGAGTTCAGCACAAAATCAAGCACTTGTCGGTAATCCTCGTTCCCGGCCTTCTCCCTGTAGGAACCCTTCCCGTTTCCCGGCTCCATCTCTCGCGAAGAAAGGCACGAAAATCACATCGGCTTCGGATTCCCTGAAAACCCTCTTCGAAAGACTCAGTTCGTTTCTCGAGGTCGCCCAGAATCCAGTACTCGGCGCTATATTGCCTGATCAGCGGATTCTCCGGGCAAGGTCGGACTTGGGCAAACGGGTTTTCTGGTCGGGTGGTCCGGGTCGCTGGGTATGCGAGAATCTGGACTAGATGACCAATACTTCTCCAGAAGACCATAATTCAGGGATCTCGGAAGCTCTGCGACATATACATTGATGCCGTTTTCATCGAAGATCTTCGGATTCGGGCCGGATTTGATGGAAGTGGAAACGAAGACGAGAGAGAAGGAGAGGAATAAGCAAGATACTGGGTAGAGAGGTCTAGTGGCCGCCATGGCTGTGACCTTGGGAGCCATCGTCACGAAGACCTCTGCTCTGCTTTTAACTTTTCTGTTTTCTGACTAAGCGCAAAAAGGATGATGAAGAAGGATTTGAAGTGTGTTATCTGCCCTGCCGTCTCTAAAGCCAAGCCCACGTAAACATCACGAACGCCTTGCCGTTTTTGCCCATCTGCAAAATCTCCATAACATCTCTTCTCCTCTGCCACAACTACGATCCCAGTTTTCACCTGGAAAAAAGAATCAAGAATATGGGTTTCTACATTGTGTAGCCCCTGGAAGTCTGGCTGTCTTCCGATTTCATCAGCAATTTCCGTAGTTCGGAGTGGCTGTAGATGTCGTATCCGATGTAGCTTGACATGGCGGTGATCATGCGAAGATTCTAAGTTACACACGAACGGACACATGCACAAGTTGTCTTCATTTCAGTTTCTTCTTGGAGATGATTATAGGAAACGATCATGTAAAACAGAAGATTTTAGTGAACTGTTGGTTGGCGATAAAAGCCTACCTGTAATTTTGAAAATTAGATACGGAAAATATGCATGGTGATCCAGTCATTCAGAATGAACAATGTCTAACAAAAATAGGAAGAGGGGGTCTACGAGTTGTGGCGATAGTAGTGAGAGTTGTGAAGCAATATGAGCTTCAAGCCCTTTGCACTGTACAACTCTTTCTTCTTGAAAGGGAAGCTTCGGTCATTGTATCTTTCCCTCAAGACAACGTCGTCCTCATCTAGACAACACCAATTCCGACCCCTGGGAGAGCTCTCTGCCAACATGAACCTCTCGGAGAAAGGGTTCACTATACTCTCGTAGAACTCTTTCACTGTCTCGCATATCACACCCTGTTGCAACCAACACTGTTAATCAAATGGGTTTTTCAAAATATGTGGTTAAATGGAGTTGAATGTTGATCCATATCCATTCCTATCCTCCAGTCACAGAGTTGATCCATACAACTGTTAATTTGCACACCTGATGCTTCCTAAAGCGTCTAAAAGTTTTGATTATACCAAGCCAGCCTCAGTTATTTTAACCAAATACGTAGTTAGAACAAACTCGGTACCAATCATTTTCCTAAAGCAGTTTAACCAGACCATGTTTCACAATAATTTTGAGGTAAAAAAACAAAATTTATGTAACAGATATATATAGTGAATGTGTTGTTGTTATACCTCTGACAATGGCTGCCAAGCCAAGGATGGGCCCTGAAAGGGTACGAATTCAGGAAATGAACAGGAAGATACTGCCATGCCTCGCGTTGAGATAAGATCATTCTCTCCATCATCTTCTTGATGATGACTCTGATTATCAACCAGTTTGGTTGGTTCATTCTGGATCTCGGAAAGTGGCTGCCAACCCAAGAACGGACCTTGGATAACTTTTGTTTTGGTTTCTAAAAGGGTTTCAGTCGCAGTGAAATATTGGGCAGATACTGCCATGTTTTGTTTCGAGACAACTTCAGTTTCTCCATTATCTTCTTGGTGGAGGCTTTGATTGTTAGCCTCATCTACCAATTCACTCAGGATCTCGAAAAGCGGCTGCCAGCCTGAGACCAAGCCTCGGATGTCTTTGATTTTAATTTCCAAAAGAGGTCCAGTTTCAGCAAACAAACTAGCAGATGCTTCCATGATTTGCCTCGAGAAAACATCAGTTTCTCCATTGTCTTCTCCGCAAAGGCTCCTACTTTCAGCATCTTCAGCCAGTTCTGCAAATGAAGAACCACACAAGGCTTTGGGGCAGCCACCATTCTGTTGCTTTGGAATGTCTACTTCAACGTCTTCAGTGACGGTAACAACATTTGGCGAAGCCTGTACATCTCCACAGATCTGCTGTTTTTGCATCTCCAAGGAATGGCCAGGAAGTGGCATTTCACTCGGAGATGCAAGTGGAAATGACGAAGTCTCCTTCTCAGTTGACACTGGATCCTCACTAGGGATAGAAGCACCACTTCGGTCTGAAGTCCAATCCAGTTGCGAAGTTTCACCTTCAACGGGCACAAGTTTTCCATCCTGCAAAGCATGGAAAACCCATAAAAGAGGTCAACATCAGGAGAAACAAGTTTAACCAACTTTTGACCTGGGAGGGCTACACTATCCTGCATATAGAGATTCCAGAGACTCTAAAAAGTAAGTCCCTCTGTATCAACAAGGAAGGATAACAACAAAACATTTAACTTCCAACTTCAAGTTCTAACCCCAAATGTCACCCTAACATGTAGTGACACTGCTTTCTTCAGCTCGAATAATCCAGTTTTTTCGATTTAGAGCAAGCAGAGATTCAAGTTATTTGCAACCAGCACAGAGAGAGTATTACCAGAAGAACAACCAGTTTTTCGATTTAGAGCAACCAGAGATTCAAGTTATTTGTAACGAACACAGAGAGAGAATTAACAGAAGAACAAATGAATAAACAATAGCCCATTGAAAGAACAATTTCAGGAACACATGATAGAGCAAGAAAGAACAAGAGAAGGCTTAACCTCATCGTTACTTCCACATTATCCGCATTAAGCACTCCACTCTCTTCCTCTTGCTCCTTAGCTGCGTATATATCCAGCGGTGAAACAAATGGATTGTCCATATCATACGCGTGGCTCAGTGGAATCCAGTGCAGCCTATAGATCCTAGTTGAACCACCAATCCTTCAAGTCTCACCTTCCTTAACCTCCACACAAGTACCAGCCTCAATTTTCTGATCCGAAACCCAAGTTCCATGCACTACACCATCGAACAACTCCCATCAAGAATCATATTCATAAACTGAAATACTTGCCATAAGAAAATAACAGGGGATTCGATGGGCAAACATAACTGTAAATTATGTGGCTCCAATTATAAGTGGCGGACAAGATGATATGCATGTTAGGTATTGGTTGCTTGGTGGAATATTGGTTACCACACGAAGTGGAGATGTTAGGTGTGAATCTCTCCGAGCCACATATTCAAATTGGCTCTTTCCTCCAAGCTTCACTATAAATACCCATGCAGTGAGGTTGTTCAGATCATCAACGAGAAGCAAACACAAGAAGAAGAATAAGAGGAGTTGAAGAAGTTTCTTCTTCAACAAGAAATCCATTTTTGGGTCTTTTTGAGAGTTTCTTTGGGTTTCTCTTTTAGGTATCCAAGATATTTGTTTCGGTGAGAGTCTTGGATACGGTTTGAATATATTTTTCTTCTGAGTGTTACGAGAGAAAGGGTGTTCTTGGCGTCATTGGGAAGTGAGGTTGAGTGTGTCTTGTATTCCACATTTGTTCACCGATATAGTGGGATTTGTTTTTCTTCCTCGCCGTGGACGTAGGCATTCTGCCGAACCACGTTAAATCCTGGTGTCTTTAATTTTCTCTCGTTTGATTCCATCGTCTCGTATTTGAGACCCGGTACGCTTCCGCACAACAATTGGTATCAGAGCCGCGGTACCTTTTACCAAGGCACGGGTCAATTTGAAAAATTAAAAAAAAATTGTGATTTGGAGTTATGGCCCATGAAACCACCGAAACACCGGCGGTAGTTGCAATTCCACCAGTTGGCTCATCATCGTCGTCGATCGTCCGATCCTCGGCGTCATCGGGAAGGACGGTGGTGACGAATGCGAAGATCGAGGTGGAGAAGTTCAACGGGACCAATAATTTCAGCTTGTGGCAAGGCGAGATGATGGATGCGCTTTATCAGCAAGAGCTTCTCGTTGCTCTTGATTCGCAGAAGCCGACACACCTGGAGGATACCGAGTGGGTATGGATGAATCGCAATGCTTGCGTAGTAATCCGTTCGTGTTTAACAAGGGAGCTAAAACTCCCTTATATGAAGGAGACATCTGCAAGCAAACTTTGGAGAGAGTTGGAGAAGCAGTTCCTGACGAAGAGTTGCCAGAACCGGTTGTACTTGAAGAAGAAGTTGTTCCGCCTGCAGTACCAATCGGGCACTACGATGTACAACCACATATCGGAGTTCAACAAGCTGGTGACGGAGTTGGAAAACCTTGATGAAATGGTCAAGGATGAGGATAAGGCTCTTCTCCTCTTGAACTCTCTACCCGAAGAATACGAGAACCTTATCACTATGATACTTCATGGAAAGGAGCAAATCCGTTTCGATGAAGTATGTGCAGCTTTGTACAATCGGGAGATCCGGAAAAAGGATCAGAAGGAAAACAGTTCAACTTCAGCAGGGGAGGCCTATGCTGCTCGAGGTCGTGAACAGACTCATAAGCCTGGAAAGAAAAAGAAGGGTAGATCTCGCTCAAAAGGCAGACTTGCGAAGGATGAATGTGCCTTTTGTCATGAAACTGGGCACTGGAAAAAGGATTGTCCAAAGCTGAAAAAGAAAGAAAATGGGAAGGTCGTTTCAAAGTCGACTTCAGACGCCTTTGTC